TTCGCTATGGTGAACACAAATGTAGATACTTATATATAACGTGTGTATAGAGGGTATAAACAGCAAGAGGAGAAGGTTGGGAGCCGCCATTTTGGTGAGGGCGGTGGTGTCGTCTGCACGACGCCACCGTGCAGACGACGGTGTTGTTTACTGGTTACCACAATGGTCTTTGGGAACCATACCAGTTTACTTGTACAAGTATGGTGAATAAAACAGGTAGATATTTATATATAATGTGTGTATATAGCGTAATAACACCACAAACAGTATTGTTGGAGGAGAAATATTAGTGCATCTGGCCTTGAGAGCGGCAGCCATCAGCTGACTGTGTGAGGTCCTACGTCTTTGTGCCTTTACTCACCATACAAGCTTAGATGTACAGTTATGGTGAACAAAACATGTAAATACTTATATATAACGTCTGTATATAAAAGCAAAAACAGTATGGTGGGTGGAGAATGGTGGCAAGTCAGGTGAGGTGAGGGAGGGAGGGAGTGGCAGCCAGTGGCAGGCTGCCACTGCCACTGCCACTGCCACTCAGCATACCAACTTAGTGGTTCGTTATGGTGAACACGAATGTAGATACTTATATATAACGTCTGTATATAGTGAATAAAAGCAAAAACAGTATTGTGGGAGGAGAATGTGGGCGAGTCAGATGACTTGAGGGAGGGCGTGAGTGGCTGGCTGGTACACGGCGGTCACTCCTCGTTACTTTTTGACTCATAATAGCTACTTAGTGGTTCGTTATGGTGAACAAAACATGCAGATACTTATATATAAACAGTGCTTATAGTGTAATAACCGACAAAGTATTTGTTCACTGATTGATGAACATAATTGAATCAACAATATGCACACCATATTTTTGAGTACAACGATGATTAACTCATTTTATTATATAAATATATCACAACTACACACTATGAATAATATTACAGCAAAAAAAACTATGAAAATCAATCAGAGACATTGAAATATATAGGTAATTATCTCTTTGTGGCAACTCCGGCCTAACAGTTGGCGATCAACAGACCGCCTGGGACGCATGCTGAGTCAGCGCCTATTTTTTGCCAGACTTCCCCGCCCTATAGCGGGCAATATATGCCACTTACGATTTTTTTATTATTTTTCCCGTGATCAGTGAACACAAATTAACAGGTTAGGAAGAATTTTTTTGTTTTTTTTTCAAAATTACATGCACCTGTGGGGAAGAAAGGATATTATACCCCTAGCATGTTAAGGGTTAATTAATAAATAGGAAATCATATAACATGTTAATGATTAATAATGTATATTAATATATGAAAATTAACATTTTGGCATAAATATTTTACAACTAAGATTAAAATTTGTAATTCAATATGGGCAATAAGTTTGGCAACCATCGCCTGGTCAGCAAATCCTTCCTTACTGCCTCCGTCACCACTCCACCAACAGAGGGGGGAGAATTAGTGAGAGAGGAGAAATCGTGGGAGAGAGGGAGGGGAAGGTAGGGAGAGATGCTAGGAGGGAGAATGGGAGAATTAGGGAGGGAGGGAGGGTGGGAAAGGCAGTTAGGCAGCCAGCCAGTCTGCCTGCCAGCCTGCCTGCTAGCCTGCCTGCTTGCCAGCCAGTCTGCCAGCCTGCCTGTTAGCCTGCCTGCTAGCCTGCTTGCCTGCCAGCCTGTCTGCCTGCCTGCCTGCCTGCCTGCCTGCCTGCCTGCCTGCCTGCTAGCCTGCCTGCTTGCCTGCCAGTCTGCCTGTCTGCCTGCCTGTTAGTCTGCCTGCCTGCCTGCCTGCCTGCCTGCCTGCCTGCCTGCCTGCCTGCCTGCCTGCCTGCCAGCCAGACTGCCTGCCTGCCTGCCAGCCAGCCTGCCAGCCAGCCTGCCAGCCAGCCTGCCTGCCTGCCTGCCAGCCTGCCAGCCAGCCAGCCTGCCTGCCTGCCAGCCAGCCAGCCTGCCTGCCTGCCTGCCAGCCAGCCTGCCTGCCTGCCTGCCAGCCTGCCAGCCAGCCAGCCAGCCAGCCAGCCAGCCAGCCAGCCAGCCAGCCAGCCAGCCTGCCTGCCTGCCTGCCTGCCTGACAGCCAACCAGCCAGCCAGCCTGCCTGACAGCAAACCCAGCCAGCCTGCCTGCCTGCCTGCCTGCCTGCCTGCCTGACAGCCAACCAGCCAGCCAGCCAGCCTGCCTGCCTGCCTGCCTGCCTGCCTGACAGCCAACCAGCCAGCCTGCCTGCCTGCCTGCCTGCCTGCCTGCCTGCCTGCCTGCCTGCCTGACAGCCAGCCAGCCAGCCAGCCAGCCTGCCTGCCTGCCTGCCTGCCTGCCTGCCTGACAGCCAACCAGCCAGCCAGCCAGCCTGCCTGCCTGCCTGCCTGCCTGCCTGACAGCCAGCCAGCCAGCCAGCCAGCCAGCCAGCCAGCCAGCCTGCCTGCCTGCCTGCCTGACAGCCAACCAGCCAGCCAGCCTGCCTGCACCATACAAGCTTAGATGTACAGTTATGGTGAACAAAACATGTAAACACTTATATATAACGTCTGTATATAAAAGCAAAAACAATATGATGGGTGGAGATTGGTGGCAAGTCAGGTGAGGTGAGGGAGGAAGTAGCATCCAGTGGCGGGCTGCCACTGGCACTGCCACTCAGCATGCCAACTTAGTGGTTCGTTATGGTGAACACGAATGTAGATACTTATATATAACGTCTGTATATAGTGAATAAAAGCAAAAACAGTATTGTGGGAGGAGAATGTGGGCGAGTCAGATGACTTGAGGGAGGGCGTGAGTGGCTGGCTGGTACACGGCGGTCACGCCTTGTTACTTTTTGACTCATAATAGCTACTTAGTGGTTCGTTATGGTGAACAAAACATGCAGATACTTATATATAACCTGTGCTTATAGTGTAATAACCGACAAAGTATTTGTTCACTGATTGATGAACATAATTGAATCAACAATATGCACACCATATTTTTGAGTACAACGATGATTAACTCATTTTATTATATAAATATATCAAACTACACACTATTGAATAATATTACAGCAAAAACACTATGAAAAATCAATCAGAGACATTGAAATATATAGGTAATTATCTCTTTGTGGCAACTCCGGCCTAACAGTTGGCGATCAACAGACCGCCTGGGACGCATGCTGAGTCAGCGCCTATTTTTTGTCAGACTTCCCCGCCCTATAGCGGGCAATATATGCCACTTACGATTTTTTTATTATTTTTCCTGTGATCAGTGAACACAAATTAACAGGTTAGGAAGAAATTTTGTTTTTGTTTTTTTCAAAATTACTTGCGCCTGTGGGGAAGAAAGGATATTATACCCCTAGCATGTTAAGGGTTAATTAATAAATAGGAAATCATATAACATGTTAATGATTAATAATGTATATTAATATATGAAAATTAAAATTTTGGCATAAATATTTTACAACTAAGATTAAAATTTGTAATTCAATATGGGCGATAAGTTTGGCAACCATCGCCTGGTCAGCAAATCCTTCCTTACTGCCTCCCTCACCACTCCACCAACAGAGAGGGGGAGAATTAGTGAGAAAGGGAGGGAGGGGAAGGTAGGGAGAGATGCTAGGAGGGAGAATGGGAGAATTAGGGAGGGAGGGAAAGGCAGTTAGGCAGCCAGCCAGTCTGCCTGCCTGCTAGCCTGCCTGCCTGCCTGACAGCCAGCCAGCCAGCCAGCCTGCCTGCCTGCCTGCCTGACAGCCAGCCAGCCTGCCTGCCTGCCTGCCTGCCTGCCTGCCTGCCTGCCTGCCTGCCTGCCTGCCAGCCAGCCAGCCAGCCTGCCTGCCTGACAGCCAGCCAGCCAGCCAGCCAGCCAGCCTGCCTGCCTGCCTGCCTGCCTGCCTGCCTGCCTGGCAGCCAGCCAGCCAGCCTGCCTGCCTGCCTGCCTGCCTGCCTGCCTGCCTGCCTGCCAGCCAGCCAGCCAGCCAGCCAGCCTGCCAGCCAGCCAGCCAGCCAGCCAGCCTGCCTGCCTGACAGCCAGCCAGCCTGCCTGCCTGCCTGCCAGCCAGCCAGCCTGCCTGCCTGACAGCCAGCCAGCCAGCCAGCCTGCCTGCCTGCCTGCCTGCCTGCCTGCCTGCCTGACAGCCAGCCAGCCTGCCTGCCTGCCTGCCTGCCTGCCTGCCAGCCTGCCTGCCTGCCTGCCTGCCTGACAGCCAGCCAGCCAGACAGCCAGCCTCTCTGCCTGCCTGTCTGTGCCAATCCCTGCCAGCCTGCCAGCTTGCCTTTCCCTCCCTCCCTAATTCTCCCATCCCCCCCTCACTACTTCCTTCCTGCCTACCTCCCCCTCCCTTTCTCACTAATTCTCCCCTCTCTCTCATACTGCCTCCCCCCTAAGCTCCATCGTCCATCCACCCACCAGTCAGCCATCCCTGACGCAATGCGTGCATTTGGAGCCGACATGGTGCACAGATGTTTCTTGATTGTGCAGATATGTAAAACAAAATTACAGAATGAACTCTCCAGCCTCGTGACAAATCAAAATAATAGGAATAATAGGCCGTGAATCTGTGAAATCACAGTGGGCAAACTGGACCATCGCCCACCCACCACCACAGGCCGGCGCAACGCTTGGCGGACCGCTTCCTACCCGAACTTTGTTCGTGTAGCATGACTCCCCAACCCCAATCGGCAAACTGGAAGTTTCGGATAACTAAAGTTCGGAAACCAAGTGGTGCTCTGTACTTCACTTTCTATGAACCTTACAGTTGTCTGTATAGCTTTGCTGACTTTTTAGATGTTTTTCTGGTGAAGATGATAATGATAATCTCTTGCTCCTTGCACTTCTGTGAGGGATCCAGGTTCTGGCTCTGGTTCCTGGTAGATTAATCAGGACTCTTGTGGCTGATGTGATTCAGTTATGGGGAGCCATCTCAATGAGATAGCTTCAAGAAGCCCCCATGGCTCTACAAGAAAGCAGTATTTCAATATATTTAATGCAGTTTTTTTAATATAGAACTGCACATTAAAACATGAAAAAAAAAAGCTTAGAGAAGGTTAAAATAAGTCTAAGCTTACCTCCAACTGCCACGTTGGCATAAAATCTGCCGACTGACGAACACGCTCAAAGATCTTCTGCAGCTGAGGGTTTATGAGTGCATTATCTTGAAGGCTCAGCATCTGACCCAGCTTCAATGCAGCTCCTAAACATAAAATAAAGCTTTATTTATGTTTAGCACAACACAAACAATTGCAGCACAATGACCGACTCATAACTCTGCTAATTTAGACTGAACTCTAGCCAAATTTAAATAGCATTTTCAAAATCTGAGTCCTATTATTTCATACGTGATCTGCCCCCCGACTTTAACCCTTTAACTGCGCAACATGCTTGCAGGCCCAGACTTCGGGTGCGCAACACGCCTCCGAGTGTTTTAATTTTTTACATTCCTTTCAAAATTCCCGCGGCTACATGGGGTTCACATCAGCTTCCTCAGGGCTCTTGTAAACAGACGCCATCTTAAAAAAAAATCATGGTCCACATTGCCGGGTGTGAGAGCCTCAGTAGTGAGTGAGTAACCAAGGCTGGCGCTCGCAGCATGAGCGCACAGCACTGCTGTTCAGCATGTGACCACAGCATCACCTAATATTGTCAAAATATATATATAACCTGTATTATTTAGCCATGATAGTAATATAGAAGAGACCGAGTATGATAATGGCTGGGTACAAAGTTCAAATATCAGTGATTCAATGCTGTTCACGATGTTCACAGCACTAGCCACAACACCACAGCATTATTTCGTCCATCTAAGAATCTTCAAACGACTTCTTTGGTTCCTTTTCAAAATAAACTTGTGGTCAATTATTCATTTCCAGAAATTAGTGACCAGGATTATGGTTATAATTAGCATTGTGCGTAGAATTGTGGAAGGAGGAATTTTGGTGAGGGAGGGAGGAAGGGAGAGAATTGAGGTAGCCTCACTGTGTGGCAGCCACTCTTGTTTTGCTCACCATACTAGCTTCGTGGTTCGCTATGGGGAAGACACACGTACATGGGTATATATAGTGTGTGTGTGTATATAGTGTAATAACAGCAACAGGAGTATGTTGAGTGGAGCTATTTTGGTGAGGGAGGTGACGTCGTCGTAATCGTTGCGTCGTCTGCTGTCTGCTGTGTGATTTCTCATGCAGTGTATGGTGGCCACTGTACTGTTTGGACACAATACCGCCTTACTTACATAGTTCTGGTAAATAAACATGTAGATAAGTATATATAACATGTGTAAATAGTGTAATAAAAACAATAACATTATGGTGGAAGGAGCAATGTTGTCGAGTAAGATGTTGGAGTGAGGGAGGGCTGGCCGAGTGTGGCTGCTCACACTCGCGGTGTTCTGAATGTGTTGATGGTGAATGTATATAGTGTGTGACAGTGTATAGTGTGTACATATGTTGTAAATATACATAAATGAACATGAAACATTGGTGTGAATAACTGTATGATGGGAGGAGCAATGTTGGTGAATACAATGTTGGAGGAGTGAGGGAAGGCTGGCTGGGTGTGGCTGCTCACACTGGCGGTGTTCTGAATGTGTTGATGGTGAATGTATATAGTGTGTGACAGTGTATAGTCTGTAAATAGGTTGTATATATACATAAATTAGCATGATACATGGTAAATATGTGCAACATATGTGTACACAAGTGTCATGCACGTAACACAGTGTCTTCAGACAGTACGGATGTTTTACTGCCATAATATAGTGTATGTGTTTATTATACATAGGATTAGCACGTAAAAACAAATAAAATGTATTTGGAACTGTGCGCAAAAAATGAACAAAAATATATCCGCGGCAACTCACTTGACCCACCCCACCCCACACCGGCCCCGGGAGCATACGGCACGGGCGCACGGGGAATTGCGACGTCACGCGCCACCTTACAGACCACATAGCAGCCAAAGTAAGTACAATTTTGAAATTTTGTTGCTATACCCATATACAGGGAGGGGTTTTTGACACTTTCAGAACAAAAAAGAATTTTTTCCTGATAATTTATTTCTTGCACACTGGGGGGGGGGGGGAGGGGTGTTGTCATATTTATAGGCCGTGCAGTTAAAGAGTTAAACCTTATTTTTTATAGTTAGTGATATGACTCCCATATAAACATAAATTCAGTAAAGTCATTTAAGAAAATGATCAAAAATTTAATCAGAACAATATTAGATACCATTAATACCATCCTTTTTCCCATGCTATATGGAAAATTTTATGAGCAAAATCTTAATTTCAACCTGTCATATCTACTAAGAACATGTAAATGTAGATATTTCAACCTCATCCCCAGTATTTCCAGAACCTGGATAAATGGTCCTAGATTTGATTTATTATCGGAATGAGACATCTGGACATGTTTCCTTACACCTGATCCCTCTGTTACCAAGCAATAAATCAGTACCTGCAAGTTGGACAACTGTTGTGTGTTGCATCCTGGGAAATCTTTGTGCCTAACACATTTACTGCTCACACACAGAGATCACACTAACGTGATGCATCAAATGAACAAATCCACAAGGGCAGTGACGAGGATTCGAACCTGCATCTGGGAGCATCCCAGACACTGCCTTAATCCACTGAGCTACGACAGGGTAAAAGGGTTCAAACCGAAGTTCTACTGAACTTACTGGATCCCGTAGCCTCTCCGAGGCAAAAACCAGGCTTTTTTACACAACCCCCCCCCCTGCACCCGAGCTATGTCAATAGGCCGTTCTCCCTCTTCGCCCTTACTACGGGATCCAGTATGTTCAGTAGAACTTCGGTTTCAACCCTTTTACCCTGTCGTAGCTCAGTCGATTAAGGCAAATCATGTATTCGGTTGTGGCTCTGCTGTTCTCTGCGTGTCTTGGCATTTGTGGCCATGGGGGTGCTTTGGATTGCCCTGGTTCTCTTCCTTCCTTCCTTCCTTCTTGCTACAGGGTTCGGGGTCTCTTGGGTCATCTGTAGGGTTCTTCAGTTTGCCAGATGTCTTGGTTTTGAGTTAGGGTACATGACATCTGCCTCCTGGGTCCTTCCGTCTTTTCCTTATCTTTGGTGAGGTAACGGGGGCTGACGGGGGCTCCCCCCAGAAAATCAACGTTGAATGTAATGAAACTCCATTTTCTGGGCGAGACCCGGAGGCTCCCCGGCATCCCTCCCTCCCTCCAGTCGTCGGTGTTTTCGTGTGTTTTGACATCCAGCCTAAGAACTGCCGGTTGGATCGCCAGTGCGAGGGTCTGGGGCTCCCTCTTCCACCTCCCAGAGAGGAGGGGGGGGGGATTGCTGAGACGGCGGCACGGCGACGTGATGACATCATGCTAGTTGTTAGTTTACATTTGGGGAGTTTTGTCCATTCATTCGGCTTTCGGTAGCAATATTTTCACCAGAATAGGGGTTTGTTTTGGAGCGCCTACCTTTCTGGGTGCCAGACCCAGTTGATGGCAGACAAAGAATGCTTCCAACCATACAGGGGTTTATATAGGCCATTGCTCCTCGTGCCTCTCTGAGGGGGGCCAGGTTCTGGCTCATGGTCCCCGGTAGGGAAGAACTTCATGCACTTTGACTGATACCAGAAAGCTAATAGTTACATATAAGCCTGGATAGCTCCGGGGGAGCCTCTGAGTCTCACTCAGACAATGGCGTTTCATTACATTCAACACTGTTTTTTTTGCCAGACTTCCCCGTCCTATTGCGGCTAAAATGTGCCACCTACGATTTTTTTTATTATTTTTCTTGTGATCAGGGAACACAACTGAACACTTTTATGGGACAAAATATTTTTTTTTACTTTTTGTTGTTGTTGTGCCTGTGGGTTTTGAAAGCCATATAGCCCAGAGCAGCCCAGGAGTTAAAGATGGCAAATTAAAGAGAGGAAAATTCCTACAGAAGATTTTCCTACAAAAGAAGGGAAACCGAATCAACTCAAAGCGCGTCCCCGGACACAGAGGCCGTGGTGCGCAAATAATGGCGGAGGGGCACAACTGGACACAAAACATGATGCACCCCCGGCCCGACCAGCAAAGCATCAACAACCGAAGGACTCCTCTGGAAAGCAGCAGTCTCATTCTTTGCCAGAAAAGAAGAAGACTGCTGCAGACAAACAAACCTATTGCCACGACCGAAGGAGCAGGAAATCCCTGCGTCGGAGGAGAGCATGAAGCTCATCGACCCGACCCCTAGAGGCCAATGCCAACAGAAAAAGAACCTCCGAGAAACAAACCTGAACCAAAGAGGCCACAACAAACCATGGAGAAGAAAGAAAAGAGAGCACTCTGTCCAATGACCAGGACGGCTCAAGGGGCGCATGAGCAGGCCGGAGGTGAAACGATGCACGAGACAGCCTGTGAAACAGCACAGACGTAACACCAATACCGAAAGCAAGCTGAAGAGGCTCTGCTAGCGCCGCATGATACGAGGCGACAGTATGGGGCAAGATGACGGCTCCGAACTACCACAAGAGACGGACAAGACCATGCCAACAAACGCAGCTACCTAAGAAGGGACAGAAGCAAAAGGAAGGACTGCCAAAAAACTCCACAAAAAAACAGACAAAATAGTGTTGTTAACGACCGAATCCCAGATGAGAGTACACAGGGCAGCCGCCAACCGTAATCGAAAAGAGCAGTAAGGAACGAAAAGAAACATAACACAGCTTCCCATTTGGACTGTAGTCCAAATGCAAAGCTGTGCTTTGTAAGGAACCCAATCTGGCCACCCTGTGCAGCGCAGGATAGTGCATAGAAAGAAGAGAAACACGAAAGAATAAAACAGGACCGAAAACGAGAAGCTCGGAGAAGGACCAACAAGCTCCAGAAAGTACCGGAAGACAAACAGGCGTTCCAATAATACGGGAAGAAAGAAAACCTTCTCGATACTATTAGACGAAAACCTCCTGAAGATGGAACCGAAGAAACCACAGGGACACGGAACCGAACCCGGGGAGGAGCAGAACCCAAGCCCAAATCGTACGCAGAGGGGGGAAAGAAAACCCCACTCCTTCTAACAGTAAGCCCCGCTCAGAAGGACGGAAATCCAGGCGGGGCGCAATGGAGCCCAAGGCCCCCAAGGCCGCTCCTCCCCAACCCCAGGAGCCTCTGCACCAGGCCCCGGGGCCGAGTTGACCTCCAAAGCCCCGGCCTCACAAGAAAAAGCCGGGGCAGCCGAGAGAGCTGAAAGAGAAGGGGGCCCACTGGTCAAAACCCCGGAGCATCGGCCGGAGGAACAGACTCGAATGCCTCCGCAGCTACCCCGGGCGGGGCAACCCCCGAAACTGCCCAAGTCTCAGAACCTCTAACCCCGCCCCGACCCCGAAGCCTGCAGATGCGTAGGGGCCGGAAGCAGGAGGGGGAAAAACAAGGGGGGCGTGGAAGGAACCAAGGCCGAAGCGACCAAAACCACCGAAGTCTGGGTCCCTACACAAGCGGGGCAACATCGGGGCATCCGGGGAAGCAACAAACCAAAGCGCGTTGCAACATCCTACCCTGCAACGCGCGAGCTGCCTGCACCCACGAGAATTCATCAGCAGACTGGGTGAATGGAGTCACGAACAAGCAACAAAGCTCGCAGGACTCAAGGGTCGAATGTGTCACCGACCCAACAGGTAGCATAACGGAGGCAAAAACAAGGAGAGTCACCCTGAAACAAAGGGACAGAGCAACCCTCAACTCGCCCAAAGCGAGAGGGGACGCAAGGGCCTCCACTATCGGACCCGAGAGCCCCCGGGGGGGTTTCCCAGGGCCCCTAGACTGGGGCTGCTAAGGGTTATCCCAGGCAGGGTACTGCTAACCGGCGCCCCAAACTACCAAGCAAACTGCTAAAGCTGAACCCACGGGACGTGTCCACTCGCGAGGGCAAAGCAGGGGGGTGCCACCACACAAACGAACCTATTATAAGGAGGGGGGGGAAACACAAGGAAGAACCCCCTACCAGGCAAAAAAAAAATAAAAGAAAAACCACACAAGTGGACAACGTACCCAAAGGGAACAGAGCCGGCCGCTGTCATAGGTAAAAACTAGCTACGCAGTACCCTGCGCCCCACCAGTGCGATAACTACCACTTACCCCAAGGTAAACAAGGGAGTGAAATCCTCAAACCCCCGGGGCGGCCAAACGCCAAGCAGCGAAAAGCCAACAGAGGTAGACCCAAGGTGACTTGTGGAAGGCAACCCCAAGCCCCAAGGGCGGTACTTACAGGGCACTCAGGGAAGGTGACCCTAAGCACATGCAGCCCGAGTACCTGAGAATACTACTCCCAGCTCACACGACCACCATAAGAGCAGCACTGCAAACAAGTCACAGCACTGAGACAAGACTGGAGCTGGAGCCACACGACCGTGCATGATCCCATCAGCCGAGGAACTGGGGCGGGGATCGCCGGCGCGGGGGTCTGGGGCTCCCCCTTCCCCTCCCGGGGAGGGGGGAGCTGCGCAGACATGCGGCGCGGCTCGCGTGACGTCATGCTTGTTAGTTCGTTTTCCTGGGGGAGTTCTGTCCACTCGTTTGTCGATTTTTATTGTTTAACCAGAATAGTGGTTTGTTTTGTGGCGCTTACCTTTCTGGGTGCCTGTCCCGGTCGATGACAGATATAGAATGCTCCAAATCACATGTGCATATCTATGGGCCATTGCTCCCCGTGCCTCTCTGAGGGGGCCAGGTTCTGGCTCGTGGTCCCCGGTAGGCGTAGAACTCCACCCACATCGACTGATGCAAAATAGTTAGGGTATCCATATCAGCCATGGATAGCTCTGGGGAGCCGTAGGGGCTCCTCCCAGAAAAGAGGTGATATGATCACTACATACAAAATAGTAACAGGAATTGATAAAATCGATAGGGAAGATTTCCTGAGACCTGGAACTTTAAGAACAAGAGGTCAGATATAAACTAGCTAAACACAGATGCCGAAGAACTATAAGAAAATTCACTTTCGCAAACAGAGTGGTAGACGGTTGGAACAAGTTAGGTGAGAAGGTGGTGGAGGCCAAGACCGTCAGTAGTTTCAAAGCGTTATATGACAAAGAGTGCTGGGAAGACGGGACACCACGAGCGTAGCTCTCATCCTGTAACTACACTTAGGTAATTACACTTAGGTAATTACACTGATGCACAACATGAGAGAACTATGCAACTCTTACCCTACACAACATGAGTGAACTATGTAACTCTTACCTTACACAACATGAGTGAACTATGTAACTCTTACCTTACACAACATGAGTGAACTATGTAACTCTTACCTTACACAAGAGTGAACTATGAAGCTCTTACCTCTTACCCTGCACAACGTATTAACAATTCTTTTCGCATTTGCCTCTGTCAAGAAGGGTGAGCCATCTAATAAAGATCCACTGCCATTGACATCTTTCACACCCAGGGATCGGCGAGTCATTTCTGCAATAGTGCCCACTCCTAATCCAGCTGCTAGACCCCCGAAGGACATTAGGCGTCCAATTCGGGAGTAAGGGACTTTACGTGCTTGTGCAGTGTCTGAAAGCTAGAAAAAAAAGATAAAATTATGTTAAAAAATGTTATATTTTAATATAAATTTTCTTTGTGTGAAATAATAGTGTGGAAGCATTCTATGTTTGCCATCGACCGGGTCAGGCATCCAGAAATGTAGGCATAATAAAACAAACTCTCTGGTTAACAAATTGCTACAGGGAGTTGAACTGTTGGACAGAATCCCCAAACGAAAACAAGCAAATGAACATGACCCCACAACCATCACTGTGCCATCTGCGCAGTTTCCTCCTCCCCAGGCGGGGGAAGGTGGAGCCTCAGACCCCCCCACACTGGCTACCCACACCCCAGTTCTGAGGTTGGATGTCAAAACACATAAAAACCGGTGACCAGCTGCCTAGCCGGTGTGGTAGGTCCGGGGTGTTCCCCTTCCCCTTTCGAGGCGGTGAGGGCTGCGCGGACGATCGGCGCGGCAGTAAAGTGTGATGTTTGCTTGTTTCCTTGGGATTGTAGAGAGTTTCTACCTCTCTGTTCGGTCTTTTGTTTAATTTTTTACCATGTGTGGTTTGTTTTGTTATGCCTACCTTACTGGGTGACTAACCCCGGTCGATGGCAGATAAGGAAAACCCCAACCACAAGGTGGGCCGCAGGTGCCAGTTTTGAAGCCAGTGCTGCCTTCAGTCCTGGCTGCGCCTGGTCGGTGAGGTGTTCGCTCTGAACGCAGGTCAGGTTCTCGTAAGGGGCATCAGCCCATTTACGGTTCACCCCATTGACGGGGTGATAGGGGGAAGGCTTGCTATGTTCGCTCAGGCCTGGTCTCACAATTCGTGGGCTATTTGGGTCGTTTCTCGCGGCCTGCGGTGGCGTTGGGTGGCTCCTCCTCCTTTGGGGGTCTTCAGGGCTGGCAGGGCAGGTCTCTTCTCCTCCACTCTGTCAAGTCGTCTTGGAGTCGGTGCTCTTGGGTGTGGTCGAAACGACAACGTCCCTCAGATGGGTTTCCCGCCTGTTTCCAGTTCCGAAATGGGACTGTGCAGACTTGCGGTTCATTCTGGACTTGTCCCGTCTGAACCCCTGGGTTTCTTGCCCCTCCTTTCGGATTACCACTCTGTCCCAGGTCCGGCTTCTGTTGGAACCGGTTGCTTTGATAGTGTCCCTGGACCTCAAGGACACGCATTCCAACGTCTCGATTCATCCTGCTCGGTTTTGTTGTAGGGTGTCAGAATTACCGCTTTCATTGTCTCCCGTTCGAGTTTAACCTGGCAACTCGCAGGTTCACACGCCTTACCCGGGTCATGGTGGCCCATCTGCAGCTGTTAGGTGTTCGGGTGTTGGCTTACCTCGACGAATGGCTGGTTTGAGCTCCCAGTCGGTCCGTGTGTCTGCTCACCAGGGGTTTGGTACTTTCCTAGCTGGCCGGGTTCGGGTTCCTGGTAAACTGGCAGAAGACCCACCTGGTTCCCTCCCAGATTTGGACCTGGCTGGGTCTTGCGTGGGACTCTCGGACCACTTCGTTGTCTCTCCCTCCAGAGTCTCTCTTTCGGCTGCGGTCTTGCATGCGCTTGTTTCTGGGGGGCTCCTGGGTCACCCGGCGGTTGCTCAGGAGTCTGTGCGGAAGCCTGAACTTTGCGATGATGGTCTACCTGCCGGGTCGGGTTTGGCTTCGTCGGCTGTTCTGGTTCCTTCAGGGATGTTCCTTCCGCCTCTCTCATGATCGCTAGGTTCGTCCCCCTGGGGCCTTACGTCGGCTGCTGCATCGCCAGCTTCCTCTTCGGGTTTTTAACACTTTCGCTCACCCCGCGCGCCACCCCTCGACAGGGCGATATGGGCCCCAGCGTGTCATGGAAGCGCGCGTTAATTCCGAAAAGTGTATACTCTCTTCAACTTTGTCACCTCAATTCTCCCTCTACGAGATAAAATTTGGTATCATTGTGTTCGCAATAAAATTCTCTACAGCACTAAATGCATATAAACTCCAAAAGCCCGGCTATTACCCGCAGCAAACAGAGAAAGTGCGAACGAGTTACCCGGGAGCGCGCAAACGGGATAAAATGTTTTCACTATTTTCATTCTGGTCACCTCAATTTTTGTCCTAGGTCTTTCATTTTGGTCTCAATGGGTTCGTAATAAAATTCTCTAGAGGAACATTAGCATATAAAAAAAAAAACCTGGTCACGCTCCAACCGCCGACGAGTTGAAGACGGGCCACGCGTTAGCCGTGAGTGAGTGCTCAGAGGCCTTCTTGCTACACTCCAAATTCCCACCCTTTTCAAGCCTTTCTTTCGCAATTTTCTTCCTGGAAGGGCCTTGTTCATGATTACTATCCATCGTGGAGTAAGCGTAGATAGTTTCTAAAGCCGCAGTAAGAAATATAGCCACGGGAAATAGCCGAAATGTTCACACGTTTGAGATGCGAGGGGAGGCGACATTGGTCACAACAGTGGAGCAAAGACAATGGGCCCACGGGGTGTGCCAAGCCGCCTGAGGGCCACGAGGCTCAACAAAGAAAATGGGAAGACATCGGCGCACATTTTAAAACCAGTCCCCAAAAAATCAGATAAAAACCTGATTTTTGGCGAATTTTTAAAGTGGATGACGCAATGCTGCGTCATCCCCGGCATTACCGCCAGTAAACGGATGACGCAATGCTGCGTCATCCCCGAGCGAAAGTGTTAAGGG